ACAATATCAGATTTTTAAACAGATTTTATGAATAAGTTAAGTAATTTTTAATCTTAATGGCATGCAAATAAGATCCGTTTCATTTAAATGATAAGCATGGTATCAACGATTACGATATCTTTTAATTCTTTTTTTTAGTCTTGAGCCGTAGCGAGCGACAAAGCGCGTGAGATACAAATATTATACTAGTTAGAGGGGTACGGCAAACAATGCACATTATCAGATTTTCAAACAGATTTAATGAATTCTAAGTAATTTTGAATTTTAACAGCATGGAAAAAAAACTCTGTTTCATTTAAATACGAATCATGGTATTGACGATTTCTTTAAATTTTGTTTAGCCTTGAGTTGGAGTGCACGTAATAGTAATGGATGCCAACATAGGAATTTTCTTCCTAAATTAAGGAAGAAAAATATACAGAAAAATATAAATAAATCAGATTCATAAATTTTAAAGTTTTTTATAGTGCTAATCTCTGCACTTAAGATTGAACATTAAAACATGTAGAAAAAGTACGAAAAATCAGAATCAAAAATCAGATTCAGATACGGTTCTCAGAAAAAGCGATATGACCCATCTAGCTGCTGTAAGGTATATTTATCGGCTGGAATGAGTAAGTACCAATAGATGGCACTTTGTTAAAAATCGAAACTCATGGACCAGCGTGACCAGATTTAGTAGATTTCTACTTTTTTGGTAGATTTTGAGGTACAGGCGACAGAATTTAGTATGTAAAACTTATTTGGTATATTTTAGTAGAATTCACGCTTATCAGTTATTATAATACTTTTTTGGCTCATCGGATAAATGCGGGGTATTCCCCCTTTCATAGAATGGATTGTTACTATTTAAATATCATTCTGTTGGTCGTTTGATTCGTGCCGTGAGCATAGTGTGATAGACTAGTCGGAATTCCTTTATTGAGAATTTTTATAATCGAGTTTTAAATGAAACTTAAATATACACAAGGATATCGCGATGAATGAGAGCAATATCCCCCATTTAAAATTTGGTTATGTAAATCTAAGGTAAACACGTGCGAGTGCTCATAGTAAAGCATGCAACTGTGAAGTACTAAGTAGATTTGCGTCGTTGAAGGAACACATGGCTACATCAAAGCATATAAAAAATATGAAAGGATATTCCGGCCGTAAAATATGGAGCCGTGATAGCTCAGTGTCCGGGCGCTCGCCTTTAATTCAATATATACTCGAGCAACCTGAGTTCGATCCCCGGTGCCGGCACCAATGAAGTTTTTAACTTTAAGTGCTGAATTATCACGTGCTCCGCGGTTAAGGAAAACATCGTGAGGAAACCTGCATATTTTCGAAATAATAACAAAAAAAATGTATTTCGAAGATATGTCTATCCGCAGTGGGTCCGCGTGGTGGACTATGCCCTGATACCCTCTGTATAGAGGAGGCCTTTGCCCAGCAGTGGGACATGTATAGGCTGTTACTTTACTTTACTTTTTATTCCGGCATTTCTCAGGTATGCAAGTTACTAATGTGGAAATATGTGGAATGTAATTCTTAGTTAATTATTCCTGTTAAGACTTTTTTTACTTGACTTTTTTAATACTTTCGACTTATGCAGTAGTGTGAACCTGTATTATGTTAAAAAAACATTCATTGTCAACTGCTAATAACTGTTATATGTCTGAAGTTTTTGGTCGATACATTTTTTAGTGATGTCAGCCAAATCTGTGATGTTAATAGCAAACCAAAGTATGGCAATTGGTTCCGATTTGTGAAGCAAATGACGATACTACCTTTGGCAAACGCCAAAGTAGAAAGAATATTTTCCGATATTAATAGGATTAAAAATTAAGATCGAAATCGATGTAATAATAACAATGTTGCATGCAATAATGCATGGAAAACAAGGGTTACGAGGGGTCAGTTGGAAGGAGGATGAAGGAGATTTGATCGTGACAGAAGTATGATCATATGGACTCGAAACAGCTTTATGACAATGTAACCCAACATAAAGGCGAAAAATCTTAACTTTAGGTTTAATTTTATTTTTTTAATTATATTTTTATTTAGAATTTAACTTAAAAAAAACATTGGTTTCTTTGTTATTTTTATTACTTTATCGTTTAATCAAGAAAAATCATGTTTATAGGTTACACGACAGCAAAAAATATACTAGATTTATGATTTTAGTGTTTTCTCGTTCTCTTTTGGTAGAATTCAGTAGTTTCTAACCTCGACAAGCAGTAGATTCGTCAAATAAAATCTGGTCACGCTGGCATGGACCCGGTAGATTTAGCGGATTTTAGCGCAGAGGACGAAGTTGCACGGGACAACTAGTATTATATAAATTAAATTTTTATTTATGTTCCTCACTAGGAAATTGAAGCTCTTTACTATAATTTATTTATTTATATTTTTGATGTAGTTTATTCACAATACATTAAAATAAAGTAAATAACGGGTAAAGTATTTGGTAAATGAATTACATTTCATCATTTACAGTTATTCAAGTTTGTGTCAAGGTTGTCAAGGTTTCAAGTATTACATATCACTTCGATTGCATTTGTCTTATTTAAAACTAAAACTATGTATTAGTTTACGGATTACCTATATCGAGTTTAATTTGTTATTAAAATTGTCGATGTATCGAATACTACATCATTTATTATCACTGAACACACACTAAAAAAGAATTGAAAAAGTTTTTTAAACCATGTGTACTTAGTACTAAGTGTTAATCAAGAAAGTATTTTCCTTTAATACATGTTACATCTCAATTTAAGAAAATGCTTATTAAATAATCTTTCTATTTATGATCAATTTGCTATACTGAGACATACAAGTCAAATAATTTTTGGATATTAATTCGCATTAAACAATAACGAATGGTACTCGTACAGAAATTGTCCCATTGCATTGGTAGGAACCTAAGTTCTCCCTTTCTTATCTGTTACATCAAAGCTTTAGATAGATCCAAATATGACAAACATAATGTAGTATCGTACAGTTTGCTCTAGGCGTAATAAAATTCAGTCGATAGTTTAGGCCTTAAGCCAAACTGAGCCTTATGTAATTCTTATTAATTTACTTAGCTGTTCATTGCGCAAGATGAATTAGTTAATTATTGTTTTTATAGATATGGCCTCATTGCTGCATCACCCTAATTCCTAATTTTGATGAATCGCACGACTCTTTGCTTCAACATATCACCTAGTGGTAATGATAAAAAACACTGATATTTTTGCCCATATGGATGCCAGCGGGAAAGGAATAAATGTATTATATAAAATTTCAAGTAAATATAATAGAAGGGAATATTTAAGGCATTGAAATGCCGAAAAATTGCTTGAGTGAAGGTAGCATCACCTTCACTCAATCAGAGCCATAAAGTATTAATGGAATCCAAAACGTAAAAAACAAAGTGATCTTCTTTAATTTATTAAGTTTGGATATTTCAATAAACGTATTTTTCAAATATCTACATAATTGGTACAAAATCATTCAACGGATTATAAGATAGTACCCGGAGGACCGAGCTTTACTCGGTTTGTTTTTTTTTGGTAAATGGTGTGTTTTGGAAATTACATTTGGATACAAATTACTGAGTAATGAAAATGCATAATATTTTTCGATCTTACCGACGTAATAATAAGAAAATATGAACTGATGTTTTTCACAAAAGAAAGAACTTTAAAAAAACAAAGGGAAAATAATAACAAAATAACAAATCGACAAAAAATTAAAATAAAGAAAGCAATGATCTGGAATCGAAAAAAAAGTAAAAAAATAAATGTGTAAATGATCGTGACACGAACCACGGCCTTCTGTTTCTGGGCCGCCCGATTACCGACCGAGCTATTATAACATTTTTTTTGCGGCGAAATTTACCGTCGTATACCAATGATATTTTTCATTCCCTGAAAACAGGGATAAAAGGACATTTTCTAAAAATGAAACCTAGCTAGATCGATTTTTAGCCACCGAATCTACGCACATACTAAATTTCATGAAAATCGCTGGAGCCATTTCCGAGATTCCGATTATATATATATAAATACAAGAATTGCTCGTTTAAAGTATAAGATGAAGATAACATTCACTTGACATTAGGCCTTAAAGTTTCAAAGAAATGTAATAGATGTCGTTACTGGTTACTTGCTACACACAAGTAACAGTAACTATTAGTTGTCTAAAATATTATGATTATTTATTGAGATTTATCTGTTCGTATTAATTATTTTTTTATACTATAACTTATGTTTTGTTCTTATACTGTAACTTATATTTTATCTGACTAGAATCCAATAAATTTTTAAATAATTTTAGTATCACTGTAACAATGCACAGCATTGCTTTCTATGGCCACAAGTGTTCATTATAAAAATGTATATATTAAAATACCAAATATATTTTTACTTGATGTTTTGGTAAAGAAATTAATGGTAATGATTTTGAATCTGCGACTAAATGGGAAGGGCAACACAGAAAACCAGTCACGTCACGTTGTGAATAAGTGTGGGTACGCCTTGCATTTGTAGTTGTATGTTCATGAATATGCTAATGTTAGTGCTTTTTGGTGTTTGTATGTATTTCTGACGCCGTTGTTAGTTGCCTGTCATTTCTCTAAATTTGGATTTCATCACTAAAACTCATCAAACTGTCGTCTTTAGGTATGTAATATGTATTTTTCGGCGAATGTCGATAATCACTGCATTCATAACTTTACGATTATCCTTGTTAAGTTGTGTATGTAACCTGTTAGACAGGCGTTGCCTTTACATTCAGGTAATGTGTAAAGGGTTTTATGTGGAAACCTAATGTTTTATAACGTTTCTAACTATCCATTGTGCTATCTATGACTTTGTTATCACGGGATTTTGAGAAAAGTTTTGGGCTTTATCTTGACATCGTGTAGGTTCATGTAACGCAGTGTATATAGTCTAGAGGGGCATTAAAGTCAGTCGGCTTTTCGATGCCGGTCGGTATACTTGTGTTTATGTGTAGTGTAGTATGAAATCATAATGGTAGGGTTGTGTTTTGTCTGTTTGTATGTTTCTGTGGTGTCTGTGCAGTGTTCTAAGTGATTCTTTTGTTTCAGGCTGGCAGAATGCTAAAATTCATAAGAGGGAAGGGTCAACAGCCCTCTGCAGAACGACAGAAACTTCAAAATGAACTGTTTGCTTTTCGCAAGGTAAGAATATTGCAACAACTAATTGCTGTATGCATAACATGTACTTGATTCTTATTAATTCATCATTTTGTGATACTTACTTTTTTACCTCTATTTACTATGTCTGAAAGGATAGTTAAAACATTTAAAATGATAGAAGTTAAATTAAAAAATCTAGAGAATCATTTTCCTTAAAATCATTTAAACATTTTAAAATTCTATGAGTATAATAAATATAGAAAACTAAAAACAATATTATTTTATCAGGCAAGGTATTTATAATTTCTATATTCATTCTGCTGTAACGGATTTCATTTTATGCCATTAATACTCCTATAAAGTTTTTGTTCTACAAACATTTGTTGTTTAAAGTACTGTGATAATTTTAATACTTTTATTAAAAACACCAAAAGATTATTAAATGTAATGTAACTGAAAAATTCATATATTTAAATAAGCAATATTTTTGAACAGATAGTACAAAGTTATTGAAGTAGACTATTATTGTTGATGATGTAAAGTTCTTGTAAAAATATATTCCAAATATTTTTATCATTCAATATCTCAAATTAAAAAAAAAATACTAATCTGTCCAAGAAATCATTAACCTGAATTACATTGTTTGTTTATATAATCTTATCAGGCTGAGCCCTAGACTGTATTTGCTCCAAGATTAGATGCGTCAGTTTATTTTTATGGCAACTGTGGTTTCATTTGTGGCTTGGTAAAAAATGGGCCATGGCTATAGGAGTGTACATTATGCAACTGTGTGCTGTTGTGAAATTTTAAGAAGATATGATTTAACTTCGTAGATACATGATTTTGTACTGTCATAGAACAATAATTATATTCCATCAAGGATATTTAGTTCTATTGGGTCTTTGGAAATGAAAAGCGAAGAGCCTAATATTAAAGAGATTTAAATGTTTGAAATTAATGGTTCATAATATTAATATTGTTTATTTAAAAGATCAGATTTATTGCTAAATGATATAAGAAAAAAATGTTAAATAATTAGAAAATTTTGTTAAATAAGAATTTATTTTCCAGATCTCCCTTTTTTGTTTACTCATATTATGTCTTACTTTGATTTAAAGGGATATTTACATATAACAATAAAGTATACAATGAGGGCCAGCATTTTTTAAAATGATAACTAAACACGTTTTATGAAGCATAAATTGCATTTAGATATCTGCATACCTCCATCAGAGTTGAAAGCCGTGAGTGCTTGAGTGTACATAATCCAAGGAGGATGTTATTATGGTTGCGGTTTTTATCATTGTTTCAGATGTTAGTCATTGATGGTCTGGCATAGAGTTTTTTGTTTTAATTTCAAATCGATGGCAACTTAGTAAGCAGTTCTGATGGTGAATGGGGTTCGACACTCGTGAATTCAGATATGTCGTATGTCGATCACCCAACAAACGATATAAGTAGTATTTACTACTTTACTCCCACTGGAGTTATGTGCGGTATTTCTCCGATCGAGTTGCGACTCCGTTTTTACGATTTCTCAAGCCTCTTCGCCCTTCGCCTTTAAACGTTCGTTCGTCTTTCGGCGACGAGGGCTTTCGTGAACGCATTCGATTGATCCATTTAGTCATAGCCTAACCCGGTAATTGTAACACGCGCCTACACGATGAAACAGTCTTATATAAATGGATTTCATGGTCACGAAACTCCGTTTCATTTAGTCATTTGGAAACCACAACAGCTCCCGCGTAACCAGTCGATCGGTGTATTTTTGAATGTGTCCTTCGTCGGCAAATAATTGTTTTTTCCTTTTCAATTACCTTTTGGTGCTAGCTTCTACACTTAGATGTAACTTTCACAAAATTTTTTTTCGCCGCTGCCAGGATTCCAATGTTTGATTTTATTCCAATACATATGAAGTCCAGTATTCGGCCTATTCTACGAATATTTTTTACAAATACTTATTGCTTTTTTAAATCTTTTAAAGGGTAATGAGTTATATTGGTTGTGATTCTTTAATAATTATACTCCCATATGCATTTAATTTGATCTTATTTTGTAGTTAATTTTCCGTACACAACTTATATGGAATTAAATACCTTCTTGAAGTCATTGTTATTGTAATAAGTAATTTAAATTAATGTAACCGTAATGCAAAATACAATATTGGATATTATGGAAACAAATATCTGGAGAGATTAAGCGGAAATCTGTCAGTCTATTTGGGTGCGGCTTAAATATTTTTTTCTGCTAGTTATTTCGGTTTAGTTCACATTCTATTCACTAAAAAACGAGGCTAACCGCTAGCACAAACAGTAAATATGTAATAGTAGCCTGTATGTTTGAACTCCCTGGTTTTATTAAAATAAAAAAATAATCAAGTACATTTTTATTAACAAACAGAACAAAATTGACTTCAAATCACAATATACGCTATAAGTTTTTATTTGATTTCGAGGAACTCCTTGATGTATCTCGAGTCCATGGTCTAACCAATGAAATTACTATGGGACCATATGGAGATTAAACTAAACGCAATTTAGAAATCTTTTTTTAAATCGGTTCATAAATGACTGGTTTCACTATACAGGTTAGGCCTAGTGTGAGGACCACAAGTTACACCTTGTTTTGTCTTGTGCTGTTCATGTATTCTATGCCGTCTTAGGCCATATCGGAGCCCTAAAACACACTTATTTGGGATAGAAAGTAAAAAAGTGAAAGACAAAAACATTTTTCTGCTATTATCTTATGTTTTTTTTTTATGTATGCTATAAACTTCTGTTGGAATACATCTACTAAAATTAGAGAGAAAAAATCTATAGTTTAAGTACGTAGGCCATGCGGGGCCCCGTGACGATAGGGGGGCCCTGGGCCGGGCCATTTTTAAATGTATATTTTTACTTTGGACTTAAATAAACTTTGTCATTATTATTATTTGAATATGATAAACAACACTGCACCGCAATGGTCAGAAACAGCGCACTGACCCGGAAATATACGGTTCAAACTGAAGACAAATCCGCAGGAAACGAATATAGTAGCAGCTAGTGAATAAATATAACGCGTATTTATTCACATTTGAGTCCGTTACATTTGAGGCGAAAATATTTATAGTTATCTGTGCCCTGTGATTATTTAGGATGGGCTCATGTTTGCTGTCGAAAAAAAAATTTGTACCGACACTGATATGTTTGAGTAATAAGCAAGAGTACGTTTAGATCGGTCGCTTCGGGCGACGGTTATCGTCCGTTATGCCGATAGCAGATAACGATTGCGTCGAATCGATATCGTTATCGCGCCGCTGTGCTGGCCAGTTCAGTGAGCCACCTAAGGGCATTATTTTTTGTTTCGCTTTTTTTAATATCACTAATTTTTCCGGCCAGTGTTTGACTATTCATTTTATATATTATCTGTTGATGTTAGTTATAAGTTAATCATAATATAAAAAAGCGATGGCGCAGTTGCCATGTTATTGGCTTCGACGTCGGGGGTCATGATTCTATTCCACCACGGAACAAGAACCCACAGATAATTGTTCCGGATCCGGGAATAACCCGATTTGATGTCAGGCAGGCGGTTGGTCGTAATAACATAGCCATAGACTCAGCAAAGCACCGATTACAAACACTGTTGAAGGAACTCACTTCATTAATACTTTACCAAAACACGAAAGGTAGTCACTTTTTATTTTGTATGATATAAAAAAAAGATATAATACATCTCCTTTGAGATTGTAGTTCACGGCTACTACACGGTAAAAGACAAAGTAGGGAAGGGAAATAGCAATCGTCTGATATTTGCGTTTGTGCATTTTCACCTAAATCTATCTACTTATCGGCTTAAAACAGAGCGCGTAGAAGTTATAGGGCATCGAGTTAATATGCCTTGGCACTTGACACGATACAAACATCGAAATGGACATAAACTCTAAAGAAAAAAAATTATTGTTTGTGTCGGAATTCTCCAAGACATTTATTACCGAAAACCAACGATGTTTGGCACAAAGTGTTGCCAGATCAAAATTCCAATTACAGCTTTACGACCGAGAAGCGTATTAATTCGTCCGCTCGTCAGTTACTTCCAAATAGTTCAACAAATTCGGACAACTCACTTCCAAATAGTTCTACTTACGCTGGCAAGCCATTCCTCATATATCTTTGTAGACTTGAAGCAACATAATAAATCGACGCACATGGCCTCGCCCGCTCCCTTAATTATTATCGCTATCGACTGATTAAACTAAACCAAAATCATATACCTACAGTCCGCACAATACATTACTTTAGTACTGAGATAATCTTATTTGTTCTGCTTCTAGACTCTCTCGGTGCTGGCTAAAAAAGTACCATTCAAAATAAGTGTTATTGCGAAACATCTTGGTGGTGTTTATGAAGTTTGTTTATTTCGTTTATAATTTGAACAAGCCATCTTCTAAGTACAAATTAACTTACACTGTATATTTAATAGCTTCCTGACAATTCTTATAAGTCACCCATTTGTCAAATTAATTGATGTTACAAACATTCATGATCTCTAACTTAAGAAATGTTTAAACTCATTCATTCGTTCACTCATTAATCAATTCTTGAAAATAGTCATCTAAATCGTTAAGGCAATAAATTAATCATTAAAGTAAAAGTAATCAAGTGAGGTTAATAATGGCAGGTTTACATGTTTACATGTTTTCTTATGCAGTGTAATTTTTGTATGTACATTTAAAACCGATCTAATAACAAACGCGTTTAATCACAATAACGAATAAACAAAGGACACGGCTACACATTTACATCGAGCGTATTAAATTAAGCTACAAATTTGCTACAAGGTACAGTTCCCAAGAACGGGGCACAAATGTGTGACAGAAATCTGCCAGAAACAAAATAAGCACTTTTTTGGTGCAGTTTGTGACAAAATGAAACTAAACTAAACGTAACTAATAAATGTCACAGATAGTTTACTCCTTCATTTTAAAATGGTAGATATTTTATTTACATTTTCGTTTATAATATTGTACCTACATAAAAACTTTCGTTACGCTTGTCGCT